TAATAAGTAATGGATTTTTTTTAACTTGTGGCACTACTTTTACTAGGCAAGTCTTTGATGTTCGCGTTTAGTTAATAAGTAATGGATTTTTTTTTTAATTTGGTGCACTACTTTTACTAGGCAAGTCTTTGATGTTCGCGTTTAGTTAATAAGTAATGGATTTTTTTTTTTAATTTGGTGCACTACTTTTACTAGGCAAGTCTTTGATGTTCGTGTTTAGTTAATAAGTAATGGCTTTTTTTCAATTTGATACACTAATTTTACTAGGCAAGTCTTTGATGTTCGTGTTTACTTACTACGTAATGAATTCTTTTTTTTTCAATTTGGTGCACTACTTTTACTAGGCAAGCCTTTGCAGCTCTTATTTATTCACTACGTAATGGAATCAATTTCTTAACCCTGTATAATGGTTAACTCATTAACAATACTATAACTCCTATTTTTGATTTCTACCAAGCGTCAGGCGAATTATTTGAGCACAGTGTTTACATTTTATAAAATTATAAAGATTTGTTGTTGTTTTTCTGCTTACTTTGAAAATAAGTATCTTTTCATTAACTCGTAACATTAAATATGGGCTCTGAATGTTCGCTTAAAAGAATCATGACGCGTCTTATTCTTGTGTATAAAGGATTCTAAGTTTACTTTTTAAAACTGGTATTGAACTGTTTTTTATTTATGTCAGACACTGTACTTCAATTAATGTAAAAAGTCTAACGCGAAGTTTGGATTTAACATATTGTAAGCTTCTTTTTGCCTATGTCTGTTTATATTAATTTTAGAAACTCCTATTTTGCTGAACACACCTTACGAACTAAGGTCAACTTTAAAGGTAAACATTTCAAAGTAAATGAAGTGTGCAAGCGCTTAGTCGTTCAAGTGGCAACCTGTTCAGATCTTAATTTTTTTAATCACAGGTGGTAACTCCAGTAGCGTGTTACGTCAAGTAACTCTTCCAATTTGGGGGCTCACTGAATGTAGCGATGTTTACAAAGTCCTCAGATCTTCCTCTTTTCCTTCTTATCCACAGGTGGTAACTCCAGTAGTGTATTACGTCAAGTAACTCTTCCAATTTGGGAGCTCACTGAATGTAGCGATGTTTACAAAGTCTTCAGATCTTCCTCTTTTCCTTCTTATCCACAGGTGGTAACTCCAGTAGTGTATTACGTCAAGTAACTCTTCCAATTTGGGAGCTCACTGAATGTAGCAATACTTACAAAGTCCTCAGATCTTCCTCTTTTCCTTCCTATCCACAGGTGGTAACCCCAGTAGTGTACTACGTCAAGTGACTCTTCCAATTTGGGAGCTCACTGAATGTAGCGATATTTACAAAGTCCTCAGATCTTCCTCTTTTCCTTCCTATCCACAGGTGGTAACTCCAGTAGCGTACTACGTCAAGTAACTCTTCCAATTTGGGAGCTCACTGAATGTAGCGATATTTACAAAGTCCTCAGATCTTCCTCTTTTCCTTCCTATCCACAGGTGGTAACTCCAGTAGCGTACTACGTCAAGTAACTCTTCCAATTTGGAAGCTCACTGAATGTAGCGATGTTTACAAAGTCCAGAACATCACCCACGTTTTCCTATGTGCCGGCTCCCGAGACGGTGAAGAAGACTCTTGTCAGGTATATTTAGGTTCTTTATTGGCAAACATAAAATTATGCATCGTACAACGTTCTGGTTTTCTTTTTTACTGGTAGTCTCATAATAACATCAAGTTAAGAGAGATTATCTTATTAAGTACGAGCGATGGTAAAAATATCAAAAAATGTTTATGTGTTTAGTGTTTGACTGCTAGGAGAGTTATTGTATTTATCTTCAGTTTACCGTAGTTTGGGGCTACTGATGAGGAGTGTGGAATTCTCCCAAGCTAGTTTAAATCAGTTTCTCACACTGCTTTATAACAAAAATGTTATGTGTTTAATGTTTGACCGCTAGGAGCGTTCTTGTATTTATCTCCGGTTTACCGTAATTTGGGGCTACTGATGAGGAGTGTGGAATTCTCCCAAGCTAGTTTAAATCAGTTTCTCACACTGCGTTTATAACAAAAATGTTATGTGTTTAATGTTTGACCGCTAGGAGCGTTCTTGTATTTATCTTCGGTTTACCGTAATTTGGGGCTACTGATGAGGAGTGTGAAATTCTCCCAAGCTAGTTTAAATCAGTTTCTCACACTGCGTTTATAACAAAAATGTTATGTG